AACTGGATTTTCTAGAGGCATTTCATATTCATAAAAATCTTTCTGTTCTAGTTAACGATCCTAATTCCAATCCAAATTGCCTTCGGCCTTTTAAAGAAATTATGTTTAGTTCTGGTTTCACCAACAGATGGCGCCACTTGCTTATTCTTGTCCAGGCTTTCTTATCTTATCTAATCATTATTTCCTATCTTGTTCATTTGCGGTTTTGTAGCTGAAGATGGTGGTTCCGTAAAACCATCGAAACTAGTCTTGTGAAAATTTTGTAAATATATCGCTGATTTTTGTTGTTTGACTTCTGAATTAGTATTTATTCGGCGTGTTACTGTGTCTTAAATGTTGTTGAGTTATATGGGCATACAAGGCCTTTGAAAGAAATACATTCGGAATGTTTTGCTATAAGTGAACATTATATAAGCTTAAAATTTGTACTGCATTTAAACTATAGGATTATGTACTTCGTTTCATAGAAACACGTACTGTGCCAACTATCACAGAAACATTTTACAGAATATATACAAGTATCAAAACAAAATTCACAGAAATATTTACGTACTATTTACACACACACACACACACATCATCTCAAAAAAAAAAAAAAAAAAAGAGTTTGGCAGCGCAATAGCGTTACATATTGAACGTTATGTGAGTACTTCGCAGCAAACAGTTCTAAATTAAGACTAATGTGCTGTGCGAAAGGCCTAAATACTATTATATTATGAAATAAGTGTTATTCTTCATGATAATCAAACAAAGGTTTTATTGATTCTTCTAAAGATCTTGACAAGTCTAAGACTTCAGCCTAATTATTTTACTTTAAATGAGGCTTATTATGTTTGGCATTCATGTCTTCCAGATATCTTGTTTCAGAGATTTCGGCAACTACCGCAACTTGGCGAAGTCATATTTATCTTGGTAACAGATCACAGATATGAGCCATGTTCTTTTACTACCACTGATAACTCTCATCTTTCAAGTAAATTACATGTGCAGTTGAATATATAGCAACGAGAAAGTTAATAACATTGCTAAATTTTCTTTACTGCAGATTTAGTTCCCAACATAGCTATCAATCTGTCAAGATGTGAGAGTCGTTTCTGCAAGAATTTATCAAACAATGCATAATCTTCGAGAAGTAATGAACAAATTATAAGGTATTTTTTCTGCCTTCTTAGCATGCCCTCGTAGTGTAATGGTCAGCACGCTCCGCTCGTAGTCGATAGGTGCAAGGTTCGAGCCCCGGCTAAGGCATTGCATATTTATCACATCTCTTCCTCCAAAAAATAACCTAATGTCTCTACAGTGGCGCCCGAAGTAAAAAAGGTGGTGGACGGTGATTGTCCACCACCAGGATTTGGCGATTGGGTCCCCTAATCCCCAGTCGCCCTTTAAAAGGGGCAGTATATAAGGTATTTCTCCCGTCTTCATAGCATGCTTTCGTAGTGTAATGGTCAGCACGCTCGGCGCGTATTCGAGAGAACCGAGGTTTGAGTTCCGGCGAGGGCACTGCACGTTTTTCACATCTCTTCCTTCAAAATATAATCTAATGTCTCCACAAAATTAGCTCTTGACTGCAGGTTTTAATCGCGTATCATGTGCTCATTACAAGTATTGAAATACTGAAAATTTCGAACACAATCTTAACTTCGAAAGCAAAATGATATAGCAAGATACATTGTAACACCTGTACCAGGTTTTTCACCTTTAATAGCAAAAGAGTATGTCTCGTTTTTCATACGGATACTCGTCCACCATGCAGGATCCATTTCTAAGAACTGTTTCAGAAATAATATTTTTAACTAGATGACGGGAATAGAATAATATTACTCATAATTTTTATACTTTGTTTCATTAATCTTCAAACTTTAATATTTGTTAGTATCACATTAATACCGAAATAAACCGTGGCCGCATGTAATCGGATGTGCCACAGAAGCTAAAAATGAATGATTCGTGGCTTGATAAATTGCAATGTAATTACTTAAACATTCTTTAATGATGATAATGTCATTTAATTGTTATAGGAATAGAATTATAAAAAAGTAAATCTGTAACAAAATTTGTTTATGGATTTGTAGTTAATGTATACTGTAGCATAAAGCTATATAGGTAATGTTATTTTTTTCAAGTTTATGTGTCTTTTTTTTTTTTTTCATTTTTTTTTATGTGATGAAAACTAAGGAAATTATCAACTACAAAAATGAAGCTTTTCCCTTCATTTAAAAGCCAAATATAATAAAATTTAACTGAGACAACAGAAATTTAATTACGTTTTTAAACTGCAAAGTTTCCTTCAGATGGTAGAAAAAATCTTCATCATAAAGGTAATTAAATATTGCATCTTAACTCAGTGTTTTAATCATAAGTTTCTAATCATGGTTTTAGTTATTTACGATAAAGTGGAATTAATATTTTATAATTATTAACTCTATATTATTATAAATATTAATTCTATATTATTATAAATATCTGAAACTTGATCAAAAACCTGTCACACCTAACTTTGTTTAGGAAGTTAAGGACCTTTATCCAATATTTTCATTTTTTAAAAACTGTATGAAAGGAAGTAATTTGAGAAAGAAACAGCATTATTATTTGATAAATAATTAAATAATCCAAACATTCGTGAATGCAATATTCAATACTTATTTTTCAATCTACACAGTAAACTGCCTTCTTCTGGGCATTTATTACTATGATACATCACTGCTACTAATCACAAGGATGAAAGAAGGCTTCCCTAAAACGTTCAATACTTCATTATATGATACAGGCATTGTATAAGATGACTTTATTTATCTTCACAAGTAATATAAATCTCAGAACAATTAAAATAAAATACGAATTCGTTCAAAGTATTTTGGAAGTTTTGAGCTAGAGTATTTAACGAGTTTTTTAGGTAAAGATTCCAGTTTTCGACCCATTTTCAATATTGCGAGATTTAAGAACTCAGATATCTCATCCGTAGTTATAACCTCTATGACAGACCGAAATGCTCTGAGTTAAATTAATGATTGATGCAAAAGCTTTTAGCAGTATGTAGAGACGTTATATTTATTTCGGAAGCAGGCAAAATGAAAAATGAGCAAACGCCTTCGCCGGGAATCGAACCACGGACTTCTGGAATACCGGCGCAGCGTGCAAAACCACTAAACTACGCTAGGCAGGCCGGAGAAATACCTTATGAGTATCTTTCTAAAACAGAATTCATTGGAAAAATAATCAGTGAAAAGATTCTGTTTTAGGTGGTTAGTATGCACAGACCTCGAAAGACATCTCAAAGGAAATTGAAAACAGAATAACAATGAAAATAACTGACGAATTGAATAAAAAAGGCTAAATGACTTCAATAAACAGGAAAAAATGATGAACATTTGAAACAAGTGTTTGGGTACTATCTCAAATTTTACAGGCTGCCGGTATATATTCTTGATTCTTAACATGTTTAATAATTCTCACAATATTCTAAAGTTTGTTCTATATCTATTAGGTACGAAAAACGTTTTTTGTGAAGACTCTACATTTATTTCGTATAGAAAAAATTATTTTCGTTGTTATCGTTTGTCAGACAGGGAAGAAATATGTTATTACTTTTGTTCGATTATTACCACAGTTCATTTCATGCAAGGCTGGGATCGAGAGATTGGGTTCTCACGCGACTTAGGATTCCCAGAAACGCAGAAATGATTACATGCGCTGCTTATTACAACTGAAAGCGCTCCATCTTCCCGATTTCGACAGTTAAGGTTACAGTTAAAGAAAAAAATTCTTTTCAATAGATAGATAAATAAAAAATAGTCAATAGCAAATGACGCATTATTTTGTTAGATATAAGAAAAGGCATAGAAAACCAAAAAATATTTTTAACGCACAATTTGTTCTATTAGAAATACTAGAAATTGCGTATCGATTTTTAGTTTTCTTTCTTTGGCATTGATTTACGAGTTTTTTTTCCTGTTCTGCGATCAAAAGGTTCAGAGCGTATCATACTTTGTGAGCCGATAGGTAATACGAACGAAAAGACATCCATCACAGTTGTTTTTAACTTTTCTAAGAAATCAGCCATGGCCATTCTGAATGACCTTGGATATTCTATCTCTTAAAAGTAGGCCTATTTGAAGAATTTGAAAAGTATCTTAAAAATACGTATGCATTTTTTACATTCAAGTATCTAAAAACCTGACATTTCGCAATCGAACCTGTATAATAATAAACCAGACTTAATATGCAAGAGCAGTATAATAATATGTCAGACTTATGTTTAACAGCAACATATGTTCCACGATCTTTTGAAATTTAAGAAATAAATCGCTTTTGAAGAGACTGAGAAAGTTGAACTTATTTCGACTACGACGGTTTCAAAATCATACAAAATTTTAAATCTCATCTTTCATTATATACTAAGAAATTATATTGAAAACATGCGTAGTGTCTATGATCTAGAAGTACTGATGTTTGAAACAAATATTGACGAATATGGATTTCTATGTTGTAGGTATGTGAGGTAGAATATAAAGCATGCTTATGCATCAGATTAATAGAATTACAGTTAAACCCCAATACAGGGGTACCTTTTCTCCACTGGTTTGTTTTAAATACTTTTTACGCAATAATATTTCTTAATTATTAATAATTCAGGAACATCCATAAAACTCTTAAATTTCGTTAAAGAAATCAGAATAATTTTAATAGAAATTTCAAACGAAAATCACATGAAAATTAAAAATAAATTTTCTTTTTGATATGACATAATTATTTAAATTTTAAAATATACATATAAATTTTTGCAAATTTTTATTGTGAACATTAGCAACAAGAATCAAATTCGATTCGTTAAATAAACAGTGTCTTATTATTTATAAGCATTTTATTGAGAGACTCGCTCATCTTAATGCCTTACTTTAGTTATTAAGAAACTGACTTAAATAGAGGTAAATTATAAAATTATATAAAATATGGACATGAACTCCCGTCTGAGGATTAAAAATCTTGATTTCACTCACCATCCACGTAGCCGCCAGGTATACGGACATGGACCAGCATCCTGAAATCATTTCGATCACCTAGAAAACAAAAGAATACGCTCATTATTATTCATGTTATAGCCTTTAAAAGGATGCCACGCGCCTGCCTTAGAATGTTACACATTATATATGATCATGGGCTATAAGATAAATAGAATACTTTTCAAGGATTCATATCTGAATATCTTAGCCAGATTAATTCCCACTTTCGCTGATGAAATCTGACATTTATACAGATAAAGAAGCGAGATATTATCGCCGCAAGGATTTCTAGGAAGTACCATACGTTAAACTCGGAAGATGAGGCATTATACGAATGGGGTCTGATCAAAAAGATTTTTCTAGTTCATATATAATCAAAATCAAATCTTTCTATAATTTATAATAAAATATAAGGAATGAAAACTTTTCATACATCTTAATACTCATAAAATTTATATATAGATATATTTTTATCGCATGTGCTTTTAACGTTTACTTTAATACCCTCGTAAATATTTTATAAAATTCTTGCGGAAAACAGCTCATGCTTTCTTACATGCTGAATTACTATGAACCAGTTTCATTGGTTTCACTTGCTTAATTATTATAGATCAATTAATACAGTTCATAAATTAATTAACAACAGTGGATTTCAAGAGCTACTTGAAGAACTATATGACTATGAAACCTAAGCAAAGTATATGTTCCCGAAGGATTATATTAAATTTTTTTACCAAAACCGTTAAAAGTAACCGAGATAAATTATTAATCAAAGACGAGAGAGATTATTAAGGAATTTGATTGCGTTTTGGTGTCACATATTCATCTATGCGTATGTTCACAGCAGAATTTAAACATGCAGAAAGGACGTGTTAATTCGGAAGAATTATGAAATTAATGAGGGTTAAAACTTTCTGCTGAGGTTTGCAAGATTTTGTATGATTTAATTAGTAATCTTATTATTTTGGTTATGCTTTCATTTTCATTGGCTCCCACCTGGATACAAATTAATTAATGTATTTAAGTGCTGAGTTCTGGAGCTTGAAAGAGAGTTTTTGGCCAGCTGCACTGACGGTCATTCTATTACTTTTCCCTACTAGTGAATTGCTTAAAGCGCCTTAAGTTTTGTTAGTTGAAACTGCTTCACGAAAGGTTTGTGGTAAAGTAAGCACATATTACTTTGTACGTAATATCCGACTTAAGCGTCAGTATTTCTCGAAAGCTGCGGAGATTTGATTTTTCTGCAATTGTTATTAGATTGTGTAACTGTTACAAAGGCGAGTAAATGAAAAGTATATTTTAAATCTTCTTCAGAGTATTATACATAGCATCGATAATGGAACAAAAAGCTGTCTTTACGTTTTCAGGAATACACTTTAGACTAGTGTAGAAGTGTACATGTTGAGTTCAGCTTCCGAATTTATTGTCAGTATAAGCTGAAGAAATTGTAATTCAAACAATAATCTTATCTTTGCCTCTTTGCCCTATCCGCTTGGTTTCAGGAGGCAAGCCAAAAATTTAATTGTCTAAATGCATAGTTAATTCAGTTATATATATTAGCAACATTGTGATATTAAAATTATGACAGAACAAAAACAAATTATATTAATTATAAAACGATGTATTTATTTACATGCTTATATGCAATCGAAAATTCTCAAATAACAGAAATTCATATGTTTTATCACCTTCTATAACAAAATAAAAATTACTCACTTATAAAACGTTAAAATTTGCCAAAATATAAGCATTTGACAAGCGTTTGCAGATTTCTGTTATAAGCATTGGCATTGATAAAAATGTACAGAATACCCTTCGTGATATATAATTTCTGTAATTAACTATAATATATATATTCTGTTGTAATTACTTCGTAGTTAAATCTTGCTGCTAGCATCGAAATAAGATCAGACGTTGTGAGCATCTACTGAATGAACAAGTGCTTATTTACTGTAAGAATACACTTGTCATACATGTAGACTTTACAAGTTTTGGTATAAAAGAGGCAAAACGTATTTCTGGATTTTCAGATGCGTAGGATATTAGCAGAGCGATGATACATTTTCTAGGTTCCCTAATTAATTTATTTCTACGTGTAGATTTTTATATCGACAAAAAACGAAACATCATGATTTTAATCTATTTCTAGATTAGATAAAATTTCAGCTATTTTTAGATTAGCATTACAATTTTATATTTAGAAAAAAAATTTAATAGTACTATCATTGCACAAATTTTTAAATTGTCGAATATTAAATAGTTCCAGTTCCATACGAAAAAAATGCTGGTTATAGAAGGGGCCGATAGGAGCTCTAAATACAGTGGGCGAGAGGGTTAAATGAATTAAAGTATTAACTTAAATATGCTGTTTTTCTGTATCATCACATTCAAAAAGAATCAGAATCGTCTTCTACCATGAAATAACAAAAATTGTCTTCGTTCATCACTGAAACCAAATCCTTTGACCAGAAGCGTAAGTTAGATAAGGTAGTAATTTGTTCTATTTGTGAAAGATTAATGCTGCGTGGACCTTACACAAATCTATACCACGAACTGTCAAGATTTAGGCAGGAAGTTTCATACACGAACAGCATAATTCTTATTCATAACTTTGCAAAAATTTCTCATTTGGAGGAGAGGGGAAGCAATTGGTGCGTAATGAAGGGTGTTCTAACTTCTTAAGCCGGAAGTTTTTATGTTTATTCCTTTCCAAGTGAAGCGGTTTTACGACTTCTAATTTCGACAAATTATTTTTCCCGTAGATATGCGAATGTACCCAATGAGATTAATAAACTCCATCAAGGTGGTCTTAGAGAGCCAAGGCAGCCTGGAGCGTGCTTATGAAGATTTATTTCCATATTAAATTCTCCCCAGTATGCTTAAGTTTGAAATCCGAGTAACCCTGACAATTCTTCGATGGTCTGGGTCGAAGAACAAATAAGGAAGAAAACAAAGCCAAGTAAAAAAAAAAAAAAAAAAAAACTATTTTGGGGGGATTGGAGTATGTTATGCTGATAGAAGCATGAAGCGGGGGATGTTGTTGAGCTAATCATGGGATGTTATGAACAAGAGATTTTGGGTTTACGACCTCCTCAAAGGCCGCTTCTTGTCGGAATAAATTCTGCCCTGTAACAAGTTTTTTGAACCCCACCTTCCGCGACAGAAACGGAGTGAAGGATCTCTCAATGGTATCCGGATATTGTTTTAAGATTAAAAGAATTTCCCGTGTATACTTTGAAGAGAAGCTACTGGCTAGATTTTCTGAAGCAGATTCTTTTGCATATTTTCAATAGCATATATTAAAGGATTTTATACTCAAATAATTCTTAAGCAGAATCCAGTTTTCGATATGTACTTTTTATTTTTAAGAAGAAATAAAGTTATATACTATATATAAAATAGAGTTACGTATATCTACCTAACAAGTTTTGATAAAATTGAGTGATCATATATATAACTTTGTTTTGCGGCATTTGCTTGAAATGAATCTTATTTGCTTAATCGTAAAAAAGTAATGTGTTTATATTTTTGGTATTAAAGGTAAAAAACTAATATTCGATGTGACACGAATTATTTCAGTTGTACAGCAGACAACTGTAATTCCCCTTTTTCCTTCTAATTTAAAGAAATTAAAAGAACCTTATTGATAGGAAGCCTTTTTACTTTATTAGATTTTTAAACTTTTAGTGTAAGAAATTAAAAACAATCCGACTATATGCTCTGGTATTACAACAGTCAATATTGGTCAGCAAATCAAAAATCCTATGTTTGATGCCGAGCAAAGGCTCATTTTATTTCAAATATTTTGCACTTTTTTAACCTCTCATTGTTCCATCTAATACAACTTTCCGCAGGAAAGTTTTGAAATTGGTTTTATTGTTTCCTCAGCAACGCTAACAAATATGAAAAAAATTAAAGACAGCATGTGGATGTAAAGAGAAAGTTATATATTTTGAAGCACAGTTAAGAATTTAATATTTTGCCAGTTTTCCACACAGCTGATGTTAGTTTGGTGAAAATGTTTATAATTTTTAAATATTAATGTAAATTTCACATGTGTACACACTATATGTACACAGTTTTAGGAATATTTTTGAAAATTAAGCGATAAATGACAGCTATTATTACTATAACATTTTAATATGGTTTTCCTAAAAAATAGTTTGCGTACTGACTGAATTTTCTATGCTGTAAATCATGTGCAGTGATCCAGTAAACATCTGGTGTTATTGATATAAAATCCGAACAGAGTATAGCAGTAAAGTTTGGCGGCAAAGCGAGAATTAATCCTAAATTTTTTAAACGAAATGTGACCTGAAATGAAACGTAGCGCTTTGCTAATGATCCTGAAACAAAGCTGAAAACATCTTTTAGGGTTGCAGAAAATTTATCACGGCTACAGAAATTTCGATGTTAGAAATACCGAGTAAAGATAGTGTTCGTGTTCGTTTTTGGAATGGAAAGGATAATTCACAAGGACTGTTTTTCTGAGACGGTGGACTCTATATTTTGTAGACGCAATTCTAGACTCCTGAAGATAATTTAAAACTCAATTAAATAATTGTTTTCTCCTGCACAACAATACGCCATCAGACTATTCCAATCTCCTTTTCTAGCAAAGAAGTGTCCCATTGCTCAGTTTACTCACCAGATTTGATATCTGAAGATTATTTTCTATTCTCTAGAGCTAAGTGTCACCTTAAATGTCATTAATTTAATGGCATTAAATTATTCAAGAACATGTAGCCACAGACATAAAGAAATTCTAAATGATGAATTCTACGAAAAAAAATCAGGCAGCTTTGTGAACATACCAAGATTTAAAAAGATTGTATCCTGAAGGCCAAAAGGAATACTGTTTTAATACTAAGTTCATAAAACAATCCATAATTGAAGAATTTTCGATTGTCTTATTAACTTAGTCCTGAACTTTGTAGTACATGAATTTCATTCATTCGTTAGTTTCTTTGTCTCAGGTCTCATTAAAAATAGAATGTAATTCTGCGTTTTGTCTTTTTAGATCATTTATAAGGTATTTCTCCCACCTTCTTGGCATG